TTCAGTCTGAAGAGAGTTGGTAGGAGACCCCCGATATAGCCTCCACACTGGTTTCACTTCCCCCTGGTCTGAATAGGCTCATTATAAGGACAAAGGGATCTCGTACTAACTCTCCTCAGACTAACGAAGCTACTTGGATGAGTAGCGAAACATTTCAATCTGAAAAGAAGGAAGTCCAGTTGCCATGACTCAACTTCCAGATAACCCCATCTGGATGACTGAGAATCTTCACAGATATATGTGGAAGGAACACTTTGCCCCTCAATGAGCTGGGTTTTCATTTTACTGACCTCAGAAAGATGGAAGGCTAAGTCAACCTTGAGCTAACTACCTCAATCCATTGGAACTGAATTCAGGTTGTGGACACAAACCTGACTGTAGTACTGAAATTTAACTACTGCACTATGGGTTAAAAACATATTTTTGAGTTTCCATTAAAGCAGTGAAAATACATCGCATTAGTTATGTTAAATATATTTGCCGCCATGACAGTTTCTCGACCAGGGCCAGACAAGAGAAAGAAGTATTTTGTGTATTAGATGGTGGCAGGCTTTCTACAGGTAGTTTCTTGACTGGTGCTTTAAGATAAGATAAAGAATATATATTCTGCCATGACAGTTTCTTGACCAGGGCCAGACAAGAGAAAGATATATTTTGTGTATTAGACAGTGGCAGGCTTTCAACCAGACCTTTAAAAAAAGGTGTGTTACTTAACAAATTCTCTTAAATATAATTCATAATACACATACCTAACACATGTACGCTTTTTAAAAAGTGGACCAAATAATGTCATTTGAGGACTTTATGCATTTGAATGCAAGGATTTCACCAAATGGCATACTGGACTTCCTAACCACCTTAGCATGATCTAGCCTGCTCCAACCCAGTCATGTAAACAAGTTTGTAGCCTTTCAGAAGCTGTGTATATATATAAAACCAGCAATATATATAATATTGCTCTATGTTGCTTGTGGATCAAGTTTGTAGCCTTTCAGAAGCTGGTTATATATATATTGCTGGTTATATTGCTCTATGTTGCTTGTGGACTGCATTCAGTATGATGGGCTACAAGCTATTCAAGCTTGATTTAAGAAATGTACACTTTTGGTCCATGTGGTCACAGAGAGAAGGCATGGAAGTGTAATGAATATGTTGCAATTCTCCACTAATCCTGTTAGGGTGTATTAAAATAGAGAATGAATTTAGAAATAGTTTTGGTAGGCTGGTCAAAATGCATGCATATGCCCAAATGCCAAGCAGAAGCATGCATGGTAGATGTGAAGCTTTATCCCAACATGTAAGTGACAGACAAGCTATTGCTGGGTTGATTTGGTTCTTAAGGTAAACCTTCAGGACTTGGAGTGGGGGTAAGGAATTCAGCACTCTGGGTCTTTTGTGAATCCACGGTACATTCCAAATCATTTCTTTCTCTTTTCAAAAGCTTTCATGTCAATAGCAGCAAAGAGTATGGTCTCAACAGAAGGTTGCTATAAATCACACTTCCTTTGAGTGTCAGAACACTGTGGCACCAGTATTCCCAATCTCCTGTAGAATTCTGCACCACCAGAAGCCTGGGACATGTATCACCTGGAGTTCCTCAGTTTTTATTTGGGATTGCAGAAGTCCTGGGAATGGCAAACAGAGGGTTTAGGCATCAGGAGTGCTGAGAAATGTAGTTCCCTGATTCTACCAAGTCCAGAAGACTATTCTGAGACTCCCCATTTGCTAACTGTGTCTAATATAGTTGCTGCTATCACCAGATACGGTGTGGGTTTTGTTTTGTTTTTTGTACAGGAGGAAAAAAAAAACCCCAACAAGGCAGGTCTATTTGGAGTCAGACTCAAACCTTGTAGGATTTTGGAGGGCCATTTGAAATGCTCTTGGGTGCGGCATTTTGTGTTCCAGCTGTAACTGTCCCAAATCTGAAATATAGTGGAAGCAGCTGCAGGTACCGTAGGAAAGTGACTTTCACTGCTTCATCTGGCTAGTCCTTTCATGGATAAAACCAGGCACCCTGCCAGTGGCCCATAGCAAGAACAGCTGGGCTCTTTTTGTGTTAAGCAATGGCTGATTGTTTACTTGTTCAACACATTTAGCTGTGGCACTTTTGTTGTTTTAAAAGAGCAATGAGAAAACCCAGTCCATGTACAAATCAAATGATCTGATCCCAACAGCTTCCTGCAAGGCTGAAATTTCTTCGGCCGAACACAAACCTCAAACCCAATTCCCTATTACCGAGGCTATCCAGCTGCTAAATGTATCATTCATCAACAACCATGTCACCAAAGAGGAGGAGGAGGAGAAAGAAAGAAAAAAACTGAGGTAAACATTCACAGTCCACCAATCTTTCCTCAAATGGCCTATCCTGACCTTTTCTTCTGCAGTGGTAAACAAACTTAAAACTCCCACTGACTTCACAAAGACTTAGCCTTTCCTTGCCAGTTTTCTTGGCTGGATACCTGAGAGAGGGACATCAAATTACTCATATCAACTCTGCACTTTCAAATCATTTATTGCACTCCTCTTTCGGAACATTGTTAAATTTGGTAAACCTCTTTCAGGAAAACTTTTGCAGCTTAGACTTGCTTGGGATAATTCACTTTGGTGCATCAGCTTGGACAGAGTTCTCTCAGGAAAGACAGTTGATATATTTTTTAAAAAAACACAAAGCAATAAAATAGTCCTTCCACTCATTGACTTACAATGATATCCATCTGATAAATTTGGACTAGAGGAATAAAAAGCTGTCTTATAACAGTTGGTCTCACCTAGATCCATGTTTTCTGTTCTGACTAGGAGCAGCTATCCAGCATCTAAGGGCCTGTCTGCTCAGATAAACAAAAGACAGTTGATATATTTTTTCAAAAACAAACAAACAAACAAACAAACAAAACACAATATGTATCATTTTAATTTTAGCCAACTCACATCACATGGTTTACAGGAGGCTAATTGGTCTATAATTTGAGGATTCATCTTAGTAATTGCAATGCAAATGTTCTTCTTCTGTTAATGTACTGATTTGGGAGACTATGTACTTTCAGCTTGTGTCCGTAAACTGGATATGTGTGGAGAGGTTCCCTTTTAAAACTGGCTATAAGGTTTACAATGGGCTTAAGTGGAGTAAGAAAACAGTATGCTGGAATAAACAGCTATTTGGTGGACATTTATTTTAATTTGCTTCCTAAGAAAATAAATCAAGTCAGAGGAAAATAAATACACACTTTGGAATTCATTCTGTGAACATGAAACTCATCATGGTTTTTAATATAGGTAAAATCTCAGGTTTTGGGACTGTGTGACCAGGCTCTCAGCAGAGAAATTTCACCCTCATGTCCCATCTGACCTTTTTAAATCTGCAGCTGTTAGAAATTAAACCTGGGGAATTCTGCACATAGTACCTGCATTCTCTTTTTGACCTACAAAGAGGGATCAAGCAAATCTATGATCCCATCTCTTGTGTGTCCATAAATCCAATACTTTATAAATTGGATTTAGCTTAGTTGGATTCCAGTGACTTTCCAAAATTCATAAGCTTGTTTGTAAATGTAATAAACAGAACATGAGATAGAAAACTCCACGGGGGAGAAGGGAAATGGTCATATTTACCTCTGTGGACACAGGTCTTTGGGTGCTGAACTCTTTAAATTCTCACTCTGAATCCCTGTGCAGTCAACCATTTCTGCTGGTACTGAATTATGGCTGTCACCAATTTTTCCCCTCATAGCTTCCTCAATAATGAACAGCATTATTGCAAGCAAATACGTCATGGTTTTCTCCATGATGGAGCAGCTTTAGTTACTAGATAAAGTCTGGGCTTTGGAATTTGATGGGATTTGTTTTTGAGAAGAACGTACCAACATACACATTTCTTCATCAATTGGACAAAAAGAACCTGCTCTAAAAGGATCAGAAAATAAGAACGTACCAACATACACATTTCTTCATATACCAAAAGACACATTTCTTCATCAATTGGACAGAAAGAACCTGCTCTAAAAGGATCAGAAAAAACATTAAAAAAACACAGAATTGAAAGGATTTGTTCTCCTGTACAATCCCATATCCACACAAAGACAGAGTTTGGGGGAGTTACTTTTTGAACAGAATTCTTCCACTCATGGCCATGCTAGCAACAGGATTCTGGAAAAGCATCTTTTCCAAGCTCAACATGTAGGGACTTACAGTCAGACTAGATACACGGAGAGCTCAAGAGCAATGGCCTTTTGTTGTGATCTCATGTCTGTTTTGTTCTCTGCTTACATACAACTAAGTCCCTAAAGTACATGCATGTATGAATCAGGCATGCTTTTGCCTGCAGCCATCACTGCTGGACTGCTGCCATAACCAATGGTGAGGCATGCTGGAAGTTGTAATCCAACATCATACGGAGGTCCACACTTTTAGAGTAATATCACTGAAACTGGTGATGCCAATGTTTTCAGTTGTTGTGGATATATTTTTGCTTTAGGTGTGCACCTTTATTTACCTCTGCTTACCCAATCCCCAACAGAAAGAAATCAAAAAAGAAAGACAAGAAGGAAGGCAGGCAGGCAGAAAAGCAGGCAGGCAGGCAATGTTCTTAAATATTAGAATAAGACATTAGCATTCTTATTAAATATTTTGGGTAGTACAAACTATTGATTGTGTTTAATGTAATGCCGGAGTTTGTTTTTTGTCCCTGACCTCTTGGGTTTATCCATGGAGCTGATGAGTGTTGATCTTATTATAATGATATTTCCCTCCTTTGTGCCTTAAAAATAATATTCAAGTGTACCTTGCTATACTTGTAATTAAATTTTTTTTGCTGAGAACCCATTTAAAGTTTGGGGGTAGGTGTTGATATTTATTTTTATCTATTTTCAAAAGTGCAGAGGTAATTTCATGCAAACCTACTGATCTTTGAAATAAAATAACTTTTCAACAGAATAATTTTTACACTCCTGATGTGCTTGGGTAATTTCCCATGAGGAATCTAATGCTTCTCTTTAATCCTTTAGAACACCCAGTGGGACTCAGATTAATGGGACAAGATGGCCAGTCTTCACCACCACTGAACAAAAATACTTAACATTAAACACAGATGCTTCAAAGATTCGGACAAAATTACGTGCCCAGCAGTGCCGATTCTGGAATATATTTTTTCCCAAAGTCCTGGAGATGACAGGTAATTTTGGTGGTAAATATGTGTATGTACGGAAAATTGGTCAATACAAGGTCACTTTCCTACTACTACATTTTAATTTCAGTTTCAATTTCAGGGCTTATGAAGCTATGGATTATTTGGGAGGGAAAGCCAACAGTCCTTCCTAAGAAGACCTCCTTGATTTAAATACAGTAATACCTCGGTTTACAAAGGCCTCGGTTTATGAATGGAAATCCATTGAAAATAATGCCTCAGTTTACAATTTTTATCTGCAGTACTAAGGAAGTTTCCCCAGGATGCATTGTGCCTTGAGGTTTATAGTGCCGCCCCGTTCCTGTGGCAAACCATGTTTCAGTTTATGAATTTTTTGCATTACATAATGTCCCGGAGAACGCATTAAATTCATAAACTGAGGTACTACTGTATTATGCTTTTCAATGAGTTTGTGTAATATATGGTTTTACACACATTCCACAAATTATCCTTGATCTCATTCACAGAAGATTTGCTGGCCATTGTATGCCATCTGCTAAGAGTAGGCCCTCCATCAGTGGTCCCCATCTTTGGGTCCCTACTTGCTCTTAGACTCTGCCAAGATCAACTTTCTGTCTGACCCAGTCTTCACAGACCTCATGTCTGCAGATGTTATCTCCCAGAGAAGCCTGGAAAATGGTAACCATAAGCTGGGCTTTCTCTGAAGTGGCACCCTATGGAATGCTCTTCCACAAGAAATACAATAGGTGCCCTCCATTCACATGTTCAGAAACCTTTTAAAACAGAACTATTCAAAGAAGCCTTTGGGGAAGTTCTCCCTCAATAGTTGGGACTCTGGAAGAAGGAGGATAGAAATAATACAGTATTTGAGTGAGTTCATGAAATTGTTTTTCTACCTGTTTTGGGCTATATCTATGTATGGGATAGTTCATTGTTTGTATTAGTATATAATGTATGTTTAATTTGTTGTATACCTCCCAAATTTGCTAGATGGGAAGTATATTGAATGAATGAATGAATGAATGAATGAATGAATGAATGAATGAATGAATGAATGAATGCATTCATTCATTCATTCATTCATTCATTCATTCATTCATTCCTTCCTTCATTCATTCATTCCCAGAAATCCTGGCCAGCACAGCTAGTGATGGAGGCTTCTAGGAGTTTTAGTCCAAGTATATCTGGAGACCAAAGGCTGGTAACCATTGCCCTGCATGAAACCTGCAGGAAAGAAAATCTACATTTCTGCACAGATCTCAGGATTCAAGATTTTTGTGCCTACCTCACTTATGAGGTGGTGAGGATCTACATAAATGTGTTCTACCATCATTTCTACACCAGCCTCCTGAGGCTCTCATAGTTCAGTGAAAGCCCCAGGAAAACCACCATAAAATGACTCTTCCTAAAGGCCTCTTCAGATAAGAAAGGCCGGGCAGCCAGAGAGGTTCAAGAGCAGTGAAGATGTATAATGGAAATAAAGGTGAAAGCAAATTCAGCACTTTTAGACACCTTACAGAGTCGCGGCAAGCTCAAAAACACAGAAACAAATAGAAGGCTGTTTTCTCATGCAGAAATGAAACTATTTTTGGAATTTTGGAGATATGTTACGCACAGCACTTGTTTTATCTTTTTTCCTGGAGCTGGATGCAACCCTGTCTTTGTTCATATAGGATTTACAGGAAAGAGAAGTATTGTAAGCATCTTCTGCAGTTTAAGCAAAATGTATCTGCACCGACTGCTCCAGAATGTGATATGTAGGAAACCCTAGAGAAGATGCTGAACTTTGAAGAATAACAAGTGATACTGAACAAAAATCTGAGATTTTATTTTTCTTACTCCCCTAGCAATAGTAGAAGGCTGCCTAGCAGAATTATTTATAAAATCCCTCCTTTTTGGGAAGGGGTGGTTTCTACTTTTATGTTATTACTACCACAGTTCCCTAAAATGACACAAAAGAGAGGAATCAAAATTGTGGCATGCCTACCAACATAGCTATTGTTGGCAGTGCAAAACCCAAAAATATTTAGGAGGAAAAAAGAATGAATTAGTGCTACAACTACTGCTGATGGCAAGAATCTGTTGAAGAATTTCTCCTCCTGGAAAAATGTGATGAAATTGTTACCTGGCAGTTTCTCTGTCTGTAACCAGTGGGATAATTATGAAAGGCCATTTGTACACACGTATGATGCAGATTTTCTTCCATCATCATGTCTTTATCTTCAAGAAAACCCTCGTGATAAGAGAGGGTGAGCAGCTCCACAGTGCCCAATAAGCTTCCTAAATGAGTACAAATTTGTTCTGTATCTCCTGGACATTCATGCCAGACTTCCAAATTAAGCTCCACTGGCAACCAATCACAAAAGAACGCACACGGGAATATAAGATGCAGAGCTCAGGGAAATCACATGCTAGGACAAGCAAAGTCATTTCACCACTTAAGGGAACACTTTTTCTAAATAAGTGCTAGTCTGGATCTTTGTGCAATAGTCTAACTGCTCTGATACTAATAAATTACAGAAGTTGCACCATTGGTGTCAATCCTCCAGTATCCTCAACAATAACAATTCCTAGTATTTCTTGAGTATGTAGGGTATGTATTCTGGGCTGTTTTTTCTTTCTTTTCACAAAGCATTTCTGTTTTGTGTGCTTGGTTCTTTTTGTATACTTATATGAAGTCAGGGACATGGTGGCACTGTGGGTTAAACCGCAGAAGCCTGTGCTGCAGAGTCAGAAGACCAGCAGTTGTAAGATCGAATCCATGTGACGGAGTGAACTTTGTCCCAGCTCCTCGCCAACCTAGCAGTTCGAAAGCATGCAAATGCCAGTAGATAAATAGGTACCACCTTGGTGGGAAGGTAAAATGGCGTTCCCTAGTCACGCTGGCCACGTGGCAATGGAAACTATCTTCAGACAAGCGCTGGCTCTACGGCTTGAAAATGGGATGAGCACCGTCCCCTGGAGTCAGACACGACTGGACTAAAAATGTCAAGGGGAACCTTCACCTTTACCTTTATGAAGTCAGGTATCATGTCCTATAATTTTGTGCTCGGGAATATCTGTATCTCTGCCAAATAAATCTAACAAATGGTTGGATTGGACTGCTTCTTTGAATATATACAAGACCTCTGAGGTGGAAGGAGACTATGATATTTTTCATCTGACAGATTGTTTATCATTTTAACTTTTGATAGATTTTATCACTTCTTACATCATCACGTTCCATCTTTTATAAAATGTATAAAAATAATTCACCTGCCCCCCCCACAAAAGATACAACCAAACCAAAACACACCCAACATCCTGTCATTAGGTTACTTGTGAATATGGATGATTTCCTGGGAAGAAATTGCTATATTAGGTATTGGATGAAATGTTCCATTTGATCACAACATATTGCTCACAAAAAATATGACTGGAGACACCATCTGTTTGATGATGATATTGATGAGCAAATGTCCTACATAAGACCAAACATTCTGTGACATGCTCCATATCCATTGAGAAGTTTCTGTACTATGCAGGAAGTCAGACAGATGATGTTCCAGAACAGGGAAGGGGTGTGTGAAATAAGGTCTCACTCTAAATCCACCAGAAAGTGAAAAAATGCATCATTAATTCATGTATTAAAAGAAGAGGTGCATATTTGTAATTAGCAGTGGATGAATACTTTTTTTGTACTGGTGTCACATTTGTCTGTGTTCATATAGCAGTATTTATTTTGCCATGTAAATCTGCAGATTATTATTTTTTTAAAAATGGGAATGAGCAATATGGTTTACCTTAAAGGATCAGCTGTAATAAATCTACACTTCTTGCTTTTTGATACATGACTGAAGCATTCCAGGTTTGTGTACTATGAATTTGATGGTTTCTTGGTCTTCATTAATTCACTTTAGTATTTCTTTATATTCAGTATATTAATAATATCCTATGATAAATTTCAATTTCAGATGCTTTTGTCTTGTTTTTGTGGTCACCTACATCCATGATTCCATGCCATGTAATGTAACAGAGAATACATAGTACTGTGCAATATGCTTAAGAGTTCTCTGTTATTGTTCCAGCATGCTTGTTATGGTTCTCATCAAACAGGCCAAAGGATTCTGTAGGATAATAAGCCAGGTGTAGCCATGCTAGCTAAAGTGGAATCAGACTGCAATAAGTATGCAGCATTGATAACCCTTAGTCTGGGAGTGGGAGATCCGTTCAATTCATACCAAAATTCCCAATGATCAAACTCCTCCTGTTTTACTGTTATGTTTGTAAGAGGTGGGATCATGTGGCTTGCAAGCCTTCTGAGCCCCAATTCAATACCATTTTTTTTCTGCCTCGTACCTCCATACCACCCCAACATTTTAAAGATACAGTATTTAAACAATGATGACCTCAAGGTTGAGCTTCTTCTTTGAAACAATATGTGCCCTCTAACTACTAGTTTCAAGGGAGAAATCATCTGTCCCCCAAATCAATAGAACACATCCTCACCCAAATAAATGAGTTTCAGGTTATGTCCAGTCTCGTATAAACTCTGGGGGGGGGGGCAGAACAATGTGCACATACCTGAATAGTACCCCCCCTCTCAAACAGTAAAGCTTCCTAATCCCATGAATGGATGTACAGATACATAGATATACAAACTTCTCCTTGCCGATGGAAACGTTTCCTCTCCTAATCGGAGAATGATATGTCACAAGGGGAATTTGCCTATTTTCCCATCCGTATGGATTTGTGGATTTTTTTTATTGTGGGGCATCTTGCTCTGAGAAGTAAGCTTCCTCCAGGACCGAAGCAATATTTGTCACTGACCAGAACAGGGGTTGGGCTCAATGGAGTTCCAATCATGGAACATGTTTGTACTGCTCACTGCCAAATATTGCTTGTAATGAGGGAGTGCAGGGAATATTTATCAAATTTGTGGATGACACAAAACTGGGTGGAATAGCTAATACCTTGGAAGACAGGAACAAAATTCAAAAAGATCTTGATAGGCTTGAGCGCTGGGCTGGAAACAACAGAATGAAATT